CTGGAAAGTTTACCTACCTATTTTTATGTGCACTGTATTATATTTTGTAGTTTAAGTTTAACAGGAGCATGCGAGATGTGTTAAAGATCCACCTGATAGCATCCATGCTGTATAAATATGTTAAATAATTAGAATTTATACTTCGATTTTTGTAAATATATCTGTTACGGATTTCGTCATAAATGAGTTAAAAGTAATAGATACTGTTAAAAAATGAGTTTATACCGCCAGCCATTGGCTCTTATAATTGTAACGAGCCACTAATATCGACTACGGTATCCATCCATTGCATCACCGAAATGTAGAACTACGTACATTTATCATACTCTTGTGAAAAGTGACTTTTGTGTAATAGCCTACTATGTAGGCCAAGGTCTAAGAAATTTGTGGTCTTCACATTTTTAAGAAAAGTATGAGTTTTTTTCTCTAAATGCGAGTAATGTACGTAACAAATGAATATGGCCAAGGCGTACGCCTTAATTTAATTCAATTCACTTTTATTGTGCTTCAAATGTCATCAAGGGCCAATATCCGCACGGATTACCTTCACAAATACACCATCAAAAATTAAAAAAACAAAAGCAAAAACATGAAATATGTACAGTATAAACATACATTCCCAGCAATTTGTTTATATGGTTGAATGGTTGAGGAGAAGGCGGGTAGAGAGATTGAAATGTCAGTTGTAGATAATGTTTCGAGAAAAACAGGAGCAATCTAAGACGGATCAAGAGAGAGGGAATATGCAAGGCTCAAGGAGTTCGAAAGGAAGGAAGAACCGAAACAGGATGTGGGACAAGAACGGGATAAAATTTAGAGTGTTGGGTTGGTGGGGGGGGGGGAGATTATTTATCTTTTTGCAAGTGACAACTTCACTGTTTCAATATTTGTCAGAGTTGTTGATGTCATTGTATCATTATGGTCCACCTCAACACTGCTCCCTTCACTCCTGAAGAATAATTATTAAATAATGTGTATATCCATGGGAGATCAAGGGAACGTTCTGAATATTATAGACTTAAAGACGGAAACATGTACTGGAATACGTTTTCAAATAAAGCCTGGTTTCCTTAAAATCCCTACACTGTCACTACGGTGTTTTCAGTGCAATCGTTGCACTGCATAGAAGCCCCCGCCGTAGTCGGAAAGGCTCCCCGAATCGACCGACCAATCAGCATCACCAAAAGCTATCGGCGATAGCCTGTAGCGATTGTATGGAAACCAGCTTAATTCGTGTTGAATACATTTAATCGATTTTTTTTTTGTGAAATTGTTTTGTGTTCTTGCATATTATTGCTTCATTACGTGGAAAATGTATGCGTTCATTCGGGATTTTTTAAAGTATTGTATACTCTTTGGGAGATTAGGAAAGTTCTGAATGTGTAGAAGTTTACCAAGCGTGTGGCTGCATATTGATCAGTCTCGACGATTACTATGAGAAATCACGTTGATAATGTTCTTATTCCCACGGCTAAGCGGATGGCACGCGATAGTCGGCAGCTATCTTAGAGGATAAAACCAGGCGTAAACTTCAGTGTATTTTACAATTATATTATATTTACTTATTGTATAAAAGTACTCCATGCAAAAACTGTCTGTATTTCATGTCAGAACAATAGACCTTTCCGGAGTGTCAATCAAATTTAACAACCGACTAATCAGAACAGCGCTAGGAATTCGCGCGCGTCTTACAAACACACGTGTTGTCCCGCAAACGCACGTGTCCGCGTATGTTTTAACACTGCCGTCTTGTGGGACCTTAGCAACAATATCCAAGGGGCGGAGCTTAGCGGAAAGGTCCATTCCAGCTTTAATTTAATTTGCCACTTTTAAATATTTTAATAGGCTCCTATTCCACAATTTGTGTGTTATAGAACTATATCTTTTTCTACCCTAATCTGTATAATATAGGCTATATGTAGTAATGAAGGAAAAAGGTTCACGAGAAGTAATTTTTAATAGTTGTTAGAAATAGAATTATCATCACATAATCGATAAACAAAGGCTTCAATATAAACCAATAATGGCTTTTATACACGTAATAAGTTAAAATAACGTTGGTCTATAAATTTTGGTAAAATCAAGGTAATTGAATTATAGTGTATTAATTTTTAAAAAGCCTGATTTCACTACAAATGGATTTTAAGTCTGATCTTGTGCGTAGGATTCCAACCCCGACTTTAAAGTTCTTAAATTTAAGAACGATCGAGGTCCACCTATCTTAATCTATGAAAATGTACCAAAACAAAACATTACTACAACATAAAATAGGCTCATTTACACGTACAGGGTCATAAATCAGGGGACCTAAAATTACAACAATATACTGGTATTAAACCGACAATAAATTTCTCAGACTTACGTTGCAACAGCAGTTATCAGTAGCAGTGGCAGTAGCAGCGGTGATGGTGGTGGTGGTAGTGATGGTGGTAATAGCAGCTACAGTAGCAGTAATAGTAATATAATGCATAGTCAGACACGATTATTGAAAAATGACAAATGAACATTTCATATGGTTTCCAAAGAAGAGTTAAATATAAAAAGCAAGTCAGCTCCGTTTAAGTCTGCCTATAGGCGTGTACTTAAGTTACTTAAGTTGAAAAAAAGCATCCGAGCTTTCAATTAATTAATCGTGTGGATATCTATATCCACGGAAATCTATAATAATCTTGAAATGTATCATAATAATATGCTCCTGCGATAATATACGGAAAACATATAATCAATTCAGAACGGTTGAAGTTATTGGATTATAATTCTATGCTAGATTGAACTTGCGCGAAATAAGTAGGACTATCGGCCAGTGGAATTCATACCCTGATCATCTCTACTAGTTATGGGAACCTCTTGAAAGCGAATTTGTATATCACCATCATTGACCTTTCCGTTAGTCACCTTCCCGTTATTGTTGATAAAAACAGCGTAAACGAATACGTAAACACGTGCGTCTCTCGGATTACATGTGTCTTTTGGGGAGAAGCGCGTATTCTAGAGCTCTGTTCTGATTGGTCAGTTAAGTTTTATTGAAACTCTGAAAATGTTCATGAATAGTGTAATTCGAAGGGTTGCTGTCATTTTGTCGCCATAGTACATTTAATTGTTCATCCCTATAATTTATCACTCTCCTATTCATAACCATTGATTAATTGTATGACCACACGCATGTGTCCTACAATAATTCGTTTGTTCAATACTATATGTTCTAGTAAGTTGCTTATCTGATTGTTTCAGACTTCTCATTCGTATATTTTATATCAGAATATTAGTATGTATATAAAGCATAAAAAAACATTTACAGTAGGCACATTATTTTTGTCATTCTGGAGTTGTGGAGCCATACTTAGTTTGGAATCAATATGTAGGTGACAGTCCCATATTTTTATGAGTTCGCGTTAAAATCTGTCACATGTAAACGTCATGAAAAAAAATCTCCGTTTATGAGGAAGCGCGTAGCTGCGTGATTATGAGGCAAACTCACGTAATTGCCGCTTTAAAAATGCCTGCTCACCCCCCGGAAATTTAAAAAAAAAAACCCAAATAAGTAAAAAGTTGGAATGGATAGTGTCAGCACAAATCAAGTTAACTAAAACTCTTAGAATTGCAAACTTCATGTGAGTTATTGGGTTGAGACGTGAAAACTCTGTGGTATTACGTTCATGTTGACACAACAATCCTCTTCTTCGTGGTGCTGTACTTAATGAGTGTGCAAATGCGTGGAACGAGCTTAATGAGTGTGCAAACGCGTGGAACCAAGCGTAATAAATTCTGTATGCGTGGGACCATGGCGATTAACGCGCAACCTCAAATCTGTCTCTTATACACATCTAGATGTGTATAAGAGACAGGCGTACGCCTTAATTTAATTCAATTCACTTTTATTGTGCTTCAAATGTCATCAAGGGCCAATATCCGCACGGAATTACCTTCACAAATACACCGTCAAAAATTAAAAAAACAAAAGCAAAAACATGAAATATGTACAGTATAAACATACATTCCCAGCAATTTGTTTATAGGGTTGAATGGTTGAGGAGAAGGCGGGTATAGAGATTGAAATGTCAGTTGTAGATAATGTTTTGAGAAAAGCAGGAGCAATCTAAGACGGATCAAGAGAGAGGAAATATGCAAGGTTCAAGGAGTTTGGAAGAAAGGAAGAACCGAAACAGGATGTGGGACAAGAACGGGATAAAATTTAGAGTGTTGGGTTGGTGGGGGGGGGGGAGATTATTTATCTTTTTGCAAGTGACAACTTCACTGTTTCAATATTTGTCAGAGTTGTTGATGTCATTGTATCATTATGG